CTAAGTTACATATTCCGTAGATTAACCTATAGCTGTTTTTGTTGCGAATTTAAGAAGAGCATTACGTTTAATAATTACGTGCCCTATAGAGTTTAAGACTTGTTGTTTTTTCTGTTGTAAATTCTGAATTATATTGTTAGCTACAACAAGTAAATTACTACAGTCAAAATTATTGTTTACTGGGTGTATATGTTCAATACACAATGCTTTTGTTTTTTCTATTATAGTATCTATGTAATCAAATTGTTCCGTTATATTTGGCTAGACTAATGTACGCAGTAAGGTCCCATTGAGACGTTATAAGTTTCAACGGTCCTCGATTTTCGTAGTAGATACCGGAATGTTGGTTTAAATGTTCGTCGGTGAATCGTAAAGTTCCTGACATAAATGGTATTGTTAGTAGTATAAGTCTGGAAATGTTTTCAGTTCATTAGTTATACTTAAAATACAATTATCATTATACCCAAACCTTATATAAAAAAAAATGATGAAAAAAAATGATTCCCTTTTTTCCAATATTGTGTGTTTTAATACTTAAATCTAATAATACGCATATTATGTACTTATATATTCTTTATATTATTTAATTACTTATTTATTTATTAATTATATATATATATATTTTTTTTTTATACATTATTCTTATCTATTCATCTTGTCGTGCACTATCTATAATGTCCGAGGCTTTGTTATAGAGTTGCGTAAAAAGACGACGTGTCCAAAGGACATCAGTTAGTGGGTTGTGCGGTTCGCGCGAGTCATGTTTACATTGGCAAATGTGTTGGTGCGCTTCCTGTAATTTGAGGGCTCGCCCTTGTTTGTTGAAAGACCCTAGCAGCATGGATGCGATGATCTGTTTTGTGTTGCACTTAATTAATTGTAAATAAAATTTTCCGTCCATATTTACGTCCCATCCCCTTAGCGTGAAGGTTGGTTTATTTATTCTAAGTTGTTGTAAGATTTTAATATCCGTACTCCCCTCCCATAATATTACAGTTTCGTAATATTTTAGTAAATTCTGAATTTGTATAGTCGTTAGATTTGGTCGGGTGGTATGGTCGGAGTCATAGATTTGTGCTAACACGTAATAAAGTATTCGGTTTATCTTTAAATATATTGACTAAGTGCTGAACCATTTTTTGCCATTCGTCGTTTGACACAGGTCGATCCTGGTTTAGAACCAACGYGCGACCTTCCAACTTGGTAAGGCAGTTGACTGGGTGTTGGCCCATAAAGGCTCCCGAAATAAGTATGAGGTTATTTCGTCCCAAGTTAGTGAATTCAAAATCCACTATAACGTATTTGTGTCGATTGCTAAAATTGTAGATATATGATTAGTA